TTCTTAGTAATTTCTGGTAATGGGACTAATTTTTTTGAATCGATGCGTCTAAGTAAAGTGATAACGAATCTGTAACAACCACGTTTTTGATCAATTGGTGACTTAGACCCTTTTTGCACGAAGCTATTCAAATATTATATGCAATCCGGATAGGATAGCTTAGGTTAGGTTAGGTTAGTCCCTAATAAATTTATCAGATAAAATTTTAGATAGTTTTTTATATTTTAAGTTTTTTTTGTAATTTAAATTTGGTTCAATACAAGTGTGTGACAGGTACATTTTATAATACTTAACTCAATGAATTTGGACTTTGTTGAATGGGGAATAGGGGTACTAACTAGAAAGAAGAGGGTGGTAAAATTATTTTTTAGCAAAGCATGTTTAAAAAAAAATGTTTTTATTTGTATTTGTTTTTTACTATTTTAGCCCATTAAAGGCACTTAGAAATTGGTGAATAAATTATTAAAATTTATTTTGAAAGATTTGAATACAAAAAACATGAAAATTTAGTGAAACGACCCCCACTTATGACCCTGTGCAGGACTACCTGGATGTCCGAGTCCCAATATTATTACAGGATATTGTATTGCCATCCGAGATGAGGTTAATCGCCTGTCTAATAATTCAATGCCGTTGTACTTTGAAATCGTTGTAGTACATTCAAAGTGTACAATTTTCCTTTTTCTCAGAGTTTTTAGTAAATTTTATAGTTTAGCCCTACTCCAAATACCTACCTCGAGTCTAATTTTCAGACCTCGGGACCTAAAACTGAACCTAATAATGCGAAATATTGAAAAAGTTTCGGAGAAAATGATTTTCTTAGTGCTGTTTTCAAATTTGATAGGTGAGTTTTTTTTTTAATTTTCGGCCTAATCAATTACCTTTTGGATACAATTTCTGAAAAAATAGATTTTTTTTTCTATACCATGTGTTTTTAATTATAATTTTGCACTGTAAGCATTCAGCTTGCAATGTCCATAGGATCTGTTAACTATCGGCTGGTTAAGTAAATCCTATATCTCTTCTGACCACAACGGCCCTAACCAGAGATTGCGTTTACAATACAAACGCCACGGTTGTGTTTAAATGCGTTATTATAATTTTGAGATCTCACTCGTTATGAATAATAGAAACGTAGACAACATTTGGGGTGGCTCCTTTCTGTCTCCCTCGTTGATACAGATTCAATATAGTGAGCCTACCGGTTTTTCATATGTGTAACGTGGGGTCCGCAAATACAATTCTGTCACGACGGTCAGTTTCGACCATCTGTTTCACAAACGACCGCCCATTTATCATTTGATATTTGAAAAAAAAAACAACACTAACGGTAATGCACAAACGGATATTATTGCGTACGGTGTACAATGCGTTTGATATAATATAACCGGGCAAGAGGAAAAGAAAACGTCAAAAATAATAATATTATGAGTTCAAAAAAGCTTTTGTAGCCATTTTTTTTTTTTTTGTAAATAATAGTTAAAAAACCTAGTCATGTCTATGTGTCGGTGCTCGTATTTCTTGATGTTATTGTTTTGTTGTAGGAATTTTGCAAACGGCTAACAGTAAACAATTCAAATATCAATTGTCTAATATTGATAAGAATTACCCGTCGAGCTTAAATATTGTATTTATTGTAAGTGGAAGCAATATATAACAGTGAAATATAATTCGATATACTTCTGCCAATCTTGTTAATTTATAATTTGGATTCTATATAAACGGTTACCAGAATATGAATTACCATGTCTTCCTGAAAACCTATAAATCTTGTTTTTTTTCTGATTCTATTATGGTAATAAAAAAAAATATATATTACAATAAACCAACTCTAGTATGGCTAAATTGTGATGCACCTGTCCTACCTATAATTTTCTACTGCGACCGATAGAGTTCATCGACGTTGGTATCTAACGTTACAGGTTAATTGAGCAAGTACCTTCAAATGTACACAAGTCAAATACTACAACCGAGTTATCAACAACATGGTATCATAGAGATGAAATGTTCCTTTAAATTTAACTACACGGACCATTTAAATTTATTTTTCCATTTTGAATTTGAGTTTAGTAAAAAAGAGATTTTAGTAAGAGTCGTTTAGGGATTAGATTTGAAGGGAAAATCTAACTCTTTTGTTGAAGAGCAAGTGGTAAATTGAAATTGTTTTAATGAAAGACCGACGAAGAAGAAGAATAAATACATAAAGACATATAAATAAAGATGATTATTTTACATTTAATAATCAGTGGCGTATTTACAGGAGTGATCAGGGTGATATATTACCCCCCCCCAGAGTCTATTTTTTTATAAATATATACCTAATAATCTGTATGTTAAATAGAAAACAATTTCTGTAATCATAGAAGTTTATAGGACAAAATTCCAAAAACAAAACATGATTTTATGGTACTAGATAAAGTATTATATGTTTAAAATAAAAGTATAGCAACTTAATTTCACTTTTTCACCTAACGAACACGTTTTTTGGAAACTTTTTTGTTCTCGATAATTTTCTCTTAAAGAAAAAAATCACAGTCCACCTTTTTTGGCGTCCGTTTTTTTGACTTTGTGCAAACCAAAATTCCATATAAAAAGAGTATGAAATATATTTGCTACTACACTGTAAAATTCCTCGACGCGTTGCCGAAAACCCTTCCAAAAGTTGTGTACTCAAGTATTTGTTCAAAACCTACGTCGAGTTTGCAAAAGAATAGTACGGTATTTAAAAAAAAACAATATATTTCAGTCAATACTTATGGACGTTGCATTGTTCTTCTAAGAGTTTTCTATAGTATTAATTTATCATATTAACGCGTATAACACGATGATGTTTGTTTATTTTATTGCTTTCATCGTTTTATGGTCAAGTCCAGGTACGTAATATATTTCATACAAGTCTACATAAATAATTATCTTTTTATAATCCAAGCAATTAGTATTAAGTAGTAAGTTCTGAAAATAATTTTGGAAATTATAATAATCTACGGAATTTGCTGTTTGCTCATCAAAATATGGGCCAATAAGTTTTCACTTATCCTTTTGCATACACCCTTACTGACCAGTTATAATGTTTCAGAAAGGCTCATAAAAATTCTTGTGGAGGATAGGATAATTCGATTTTTTTCTAAATGTTAATCGGAGGGTTTTCCGGATGTTGAGTGGGTCGCGATAAGTTTTCGACGAAATATCAAAAAAAAATCATTAAAACATTAGGAATAGTGTTATACCGCACCCCGCTTTAAAAGTGGAACATTAAAAAAAAAGATTTTCGAGGTTATTATAGCATGATTTAAATAAATATCATATCAATATTGTGTAGTTCACCTTTTTTGGCCTCCATGTCGTTGACTTTTGAAAACCGAAATTTCCATTTAATATCGAACAATAGGATTACACGAAAAAGCTTATAACAAAAAGTTAGAATATTTAATAGGTATCTTCGCATTGAATTTGCAGTGCACGATCAAATTCAACGCTGTGTCGCACAAAAAAACGCACACCAGTTGTGTACACATTTCTTTTTCTTTTAAAATTCCCATTTTTTTTTATTTTTTAATCAAGTGATCGCTTACCTGTGAGGGACCTGTTCTTTTAAAATTCTACCGCGTATGCTAAAAAATTGCGCTCCATTAAAATACAACAGTATATTTTTGTCAGTTTACAACACCTATGGACGGTGCATTGTTCTTCTAAGTGTTTTCTATAGTATTCATTATTCATATTATCGCGTGTAACATGTTTGTTTATTTTATTGCTTTCATCGTTTTATGGTCAAGTCCAGGTAGGTAATTTTATTTCATACACGTCTGCATAAATAATTATCTTCTTAAAATCTAAGCATATTGTCTTCAGCTGTGAGTTCTGGACACAATTATGGAAATTATAGTAATCTACGGTATTAGCTATTTGCTCATTAAAAGATGGCCCAATAAGTTTTCACTTATCCTTTTGCATGCCTCCTTACTGACTGAATGATTGATTTATATACAGTTAGATTTTAAGTATAATTTATATATACAGGGTGATCCACTCAATATCTCTCAGGTTTATTAAGAAATTAAAATATTTTTTTATATTGTTTTTATTCAATGGGATCTCAATATTTTACAATTTTTTTTTGTATTTACCCCCTCTTAATTTAGTTTTTTTGATAGCAATTTTTAAAACTTAAATGGAAACATTTATATTTTATTAACTTTTTAAATTTAGAAAAATGTATTAAACATTTTGACTGGTCAATAACCAGTTTCGGATAACTATTTTTAAAGTTTTTGAAGTTTCAAGTTAATTCTTATAAATTAAAAAAAAATGATCCGAAACTGGTTTTTGACCAGTCAACATTTTTAGTACATTATTCTCAATATGAAAATTTAATAAAATATATACGTTACCGTTTAATTTTTAAAAGTTGCTATCAAAAAACTAAGTTGGGAGAGGGGTAAAAACAAAAAAAAATTCTAAAACTTTCTGAAAACCAAAATATAATGTAAAAAAAGAGTATCAAAAAATGTTCATAACAAAAATGTAGAATAGTTATTGATTGAATAAGTATCTTCGCTTTAAATTTGCTATTGCACAATGAAGAAATTCATATACACATCGCACAAAAAACGCACACCGGTTGTGTACACAATTCTTTCTTTAAAAAACACTTTCAAGTATGCAAAAAAATTGTGCGCTATTTTCAATAAAGCAATATTTTTCAGTCAGTTTACAATACCTATGGTTTTTCTAATGGTTTTCTATATTATTAATTAATCATATTAGCACGTATAACACGATGATGTTTGTTTATTTTATTGCTTTCATCGTTTTAAGGTCAAGTCCTGGTACGTAATATATTTCATACAAGTTTACATAAATAATTATCTTCTTCTAATCCAAGCAAATAGTAACACAATTATGGAAATTATACTAATCTACGGTATTTGTTCATAAAAGATGGCCCCATAAATGTTTACTTAATATCCTTCTGCAAACCTCCTTACTGACGAGTTATAATGTCTAAGCTTTCTCTAGAAAGTCTTAGTGGAGGCAAGTTTAGATTCAGGTCCTTAATTTTATATTCAACGCTAATACGGTTAAAAGATTTTACAACAATCAGAGTTGGACTGTAGCAAACTATACTTGGTGGCGACGCTAAAAAAATTAGGGTCTGAATACAACAATGAAAACCGTATAATAAATTAATAAAGTATTTTAGTTCAATCGCGTTGGCCTAAATGTATTGCTAAGGCATGTCTTACTGCAGTGTCGACAGTTGATCATGAGCGTAGTGTATTAGACTGACGGCTTATCCAAGTATGTGTGTAATATTTAAAAATACTTACAACAACAATATGTTTTTGTACCAAGATTTTTATACAAAGGTTGTAACCATGGTTACCATACAAATCAAGGTTACCACAATTGACACGGTTACCACATGCATCAAAATAAAATGACAAAACTAAAAATAGCTTAAGAGGCTTAATTAAACAAATTATGGGTTTTGCCATTTAAATTATGGGTTTTACCGAAATTATTATTCCTACATAAGTTATTAGTTTTGATAAGAAAATTTGTTTGGTTAATCTAAGTTAAGCTGTACATTGCTCACTATTCAAAAAAAAAAAAGAAGAAAAATCAGATGGCTGGCCACTGTTTTATATCGTAAATAAACAATACGAATGCGTTTGCAAAATTAATTTTATTTTTTAGCATTTCCTGCTCCAACAGGATATGCATCGTCTTCGTCCAATCCGGCTGGTTACGACCAAATCGACCACTCTCATATGTTGGTCGACGACCTTAGCGATCTGTGTCTAAACAAAAGGTATGTGTTATCCTACGTCTTTTTATAAGAAATACAGGGTATAATGTAAAGTTCTACCGAGCTTCAAATGAGACATTCAGGATGCTCTATGGGTACAATAAATTATATTTATTTTATTTAAACTTCAAAATAATTTAAAATAGAACTCGTATCTCAGAAAAAATGGTCTTAAAAAATAATTTAAAATTTATAATCAGGAAAAAAAAACTCCTTGATTTGATAACAGTATGTACCATGATTTTTTGGTGATTAGAATTAAAGAAAATTAATGTAATTTGTTGTACTCATAGAGCATCCTAAATATCTCATTTGAAGCTCGGTAGAACTTAACATTACACTCTGTATATAAATATATATATATATATATATATATATATATAAAATCTCTAGTCACACGGTTTGTTCGCGATGAACTCCGAGACTACTTAACTGATCTTGATGACATTTTTTACACTGTGTGTGGATATAGGGTAGGGATAGGGGGAAGATAGGAGTAGGAGATAGAGGGTGAGAGATAGGGGGGTTGGGGATGTAGGTGTGAATGGGGTCGCGGGTGGGAATTAGCTCTGGCACATAACCGAAAAAAGTGTTACCAAAAAAGCGTTAAGCTGTAATCTGATAAGAGATATGTTTTACGTTCAACGTTGAAATTAGAGCTAAATGATAAATTCAAAACAGTTTAAGGGCCCAAATTCTCTATGAATGGTTTTGAGCCAGATGTTGAAAGCTACAATATTAGCCAGAAACTTGATGTTTTAATATACTAGCCACCTTAGGTACTAGCTTGTTACTGCTTGTTAATTAACTATATCATTATTTATAATTCCACCACTACTCTAAATTTATTTGGTACTTCAACGAGACATGAAAATGCTCTTTCGTGGTTGCAGACTCGGCTGAAAACCTTTTTTCCATAGGGATGGGGATGGGGATGAAGTTGGGGATTAAGATGAAGATGGTGATGAAGTGGAAGTTTGATAATAAAATATCATAACAAAAAAAATGTTTCAATTTCTTAACACGTGCGAAGCAGGGTACACGGGTAGCTAGTATATATATATATATATACTAGCTGATGGCTAGTATATATGCAGGCTTTATGGCTAATTCCCATAAAGCATGGAATATCAGTTATTGTCCTGTCAGGATCAGGTTTATCACCTCCGCTATTTAAAATATAACCCAAAAACTTAAAAACTCGTACGTTTTTTTTAATCAAATTTCGACTGTAAAAAAGTAAACTTTTTTAAGTTTTACCCCCCCCCCTCCCCCCAAAGTACCAACTAGTTGAAATTTGTGATTTATAGACTTGCTATTCGAAGGAATTGGTCCAGTATTGAAAAAGTTACAGTGTATACAGATAAAAAAATAATAACACACATCAAAGTAAAACCAATACCTTTGCCGGTCTGCATCGAAGCTAAAAACTTATTTGTTTTATTGCTCAGTATTGTTTTTAACGATATAACATTGTACATAAATTATTATTCATCTTTAATATTTATAATTATACAATAAATTATTTTTATTTTTATTTTAGGTTTTCGGATGTTGACTTAGTTGTAAATAATCAACAAATACACGCCCATCGCGTTGTATTAGCCTCACGCAGTGATTATTTCAGGCAATTAATTAGTACCATTAAGTATATTATTCTCTAAGACTTAGAGACTAAGTAATAATAATACCTTAATAAGTATAACACGTAGGTAGTTTTAATTTTTTTTTACGGTATCACCAATTTTCTAATGAACTAGCCTAAATGTTTTCAAAAAAAAATTCAGCGACATCGAGTGCAGTAAGATTTTAAATATTTTGTAAATGTTGTACACAATAAAATTCTAAATGTACTAATTGTACTTGCTTTATGTAAATTGATTATATGGACCACCTATTTATTATTATTATTTATTTATTATGAATAAACGAGCCGAGCCCTTTTGGTACAATTAACAAGTAAAATAACAGGTTGTTAACCAATAGGTATAGTGATAGTTAAACTGATATTATTACTTATTTTATGTTGATCAATATGACTTGCCAACTTAAATTAAACGATAGTAAATTTTAATAGACTTTTAGAGTGAAAACCCACTTGATGTATACATATGCATTTTTGTACTAATATTATGATATTTTATAGCGCATTACTGTATAGAGATCATACAGATTCCAGTCTAAAAAAGGTGCCAATAAAAAAAGGATCAGTAGCCTCGGTTGAAGCACTTCTTCGGTATATTTACTCTGGTCGACTGAATTTAAGTAAACTAGAGGTAACTTATAATCGACTTAGATGACCGGTATTAAAAGGCCAAAAATGTACATTTTTCAAGGTTGTGCGTTTTTTAAGTATCGTTCAGTCGATTGGTTGTGTTTTATGTATTTAACTATAAATAATATATATTATTCAGAAAACAATTAATTATATACATAAGAAGACATTTTTTATTTTTTAGATTAAAGTTATTGTGGAATTATTAATTCTCTCGTGTGAATTTTTTTTTACAAACTTACAATATTCACTGACCGAGTATTTGCGGAGGAACATCAATGTAGACAACGCAAGTTCGTTGTTTGTTGTAGCACATTCCTACCAAATCAAAGACCTCGAAAACGAATCACTTAATTTTATCGACATCCACGTTTTGGACGTATTGCAATCAGACGATTCTCGCTCTTTGACTCCCGTAATGATATTTTATAGAAAAAATTCAATATATCTCGTGTTAGGTACCCAGTTTTGACAGGTATTTTTTTTTTTTTTAGGAAGCATTTCAACTAATTCTTAATTGTGACACGGCTTATGCTAACGAATTGGATAAATTCCGTGCAGTTTGTCGCTGGATCAAAAAGAACCGAAACAAACTAGTTCCTGATGCTAAAACCAAAATTTTATCTGCTGTCAGATATCAGCTTATGAACGATGAAGAACTGGCTGAAGTTAGGCAATCAGATATGGTTCGTTCGAATAGAAATATTTTGGACGTCATAAATTTGAGAATAGAGTCCCTCCCACAAGAATTTGACGATCGAGGACGATTAGGTATGCCAAATGCAATAATTTGCTTAGCAAATTATGTTAGTATCATCTACTTTATTCTTTAGAACCCAATGTAAATTTCGCTGAAGATACACCCAATGAGATTTCTCAAATTGATGGCGGTACCATGATCATGTTGGATCTTCCATCCAACATAAACTATATTGAAATGGAATTAAACGACGAACAAGCAATGTATGGTTTCAATTATCATTATTTCTAATCAAAAGATTTGATATTATTTAAATTTAATAATAACAATTTAATTAAAATTGGATTATTATATATTTTTGTCTCAATTAATATAAAAAAAAAAAAAATAATAGTTTCCAAAATAATAAATAATTTACCAATTAAATTTTTGATCCTTTTTTAATAACATGTTATTTATTCACCGAACAGTTTTAAAATGATAGCTTCAATTTTTTTTGATTTAGGCATTACACTTATTACATTGAAGTATCAACGGATAAACGTCAATGGTTGCGTGTAATAGATCATTCGAATTATCATTGTCAGTATACTCAACGTTTGTGGATTAACCGAATATTTGTTCAATACATTCGAATTGTTGGCACTAATAATACTAGTGCTAAAACTTTTAACTTTTTGAAAGTGATGTACAATACGGAAAAATTGGACCAGTTCGAAATAAAAAACGGATTAGTGGGTAAGGACAACACTTACTTATTCCTTGAATTGTATAAAAAAATCAAAGTTGTCTAATGTGCTGATTTTAATTCTATTAGCTCCAAAGTACAATGTTACTACACAAAATATGAACTTTGCTGTAAACAAAAAAAAACCAGATTGCTTACAGGTTCAACTCGCTCAACCGTATATGCTTAGTTCATTGAGGTAATCGTTTACAAAACATTTAACTTTTACTTGGTTTATATTGTTTGTGCGTAAAATACAAATTTTTATTGTTTAAAAAAATGATTTATGTTAATGCCAGTTGACTCTGGCAATAAGATCAGGATTATATTTATAATTATAATTATTTATAGGATGCTAATTAATGACGGTGAAAGCGAAACCTGTGGTTACATTATACATGTTTCGGCCAATGATGAAGATTGGAAAATTATTGTAGATAAATCTAATAAGTCGACACGATCCATGCAGTTGTTAAAATTTGATGCCACGCCAATTGTGTACATACGTGTTACGGCCGTTCGCACTTCAGAAAATGATAAAGTAATATGATAATTCGAAGATTGTATTTTAAAACTGTTTTGAACATTTTTTTGTAGCTATTCAGTCGTGTATTGTTGGAGGCACCCGCACAAGAATCTCTAGATTCTGACGTCACGCCGCTCCAACCAAAAAAGCAGCGGTCGATATCACGTCTTATGGGTCATAATTAGCGTCATCCTTGGTTCTATGGTCTACTTCAATATGGATCCAGTGTGTTTTATTTAAATCATATTATATGTAACTATAATTTTTTTTCGCTTAATAAATATATAAAACATTAAAATTAATGTTCAAATATGACTCTATATTATGTTATAAACATAACAATATTGGTTCACGAATGTCAGTAATTAAACAAATTATTTTTCCCAACCCATATAGTATGGTTGATCGTAGTTATTACATTTTTCTAGTAGTGAACATATTTAACAAGAATGTTGGTTACAAGTTGTGTTAGTAGTCTTTTAAATCGTGTTTCGAACGAATACCATACATTTTTATGTTAACAATTTTCTTAGATAAATTACAAATTATGTTGTTTACGATTAAGGAAATTATAGGTATTGCATATATCCATATTGGTACGATACGGTTTTTTGAAAGCTCTCCTCAGTATGGAGTTTATCGTTGATAAAATGTTTTCAAATTCGTATCATGTGCTCCTCCCCAAGCAGTTATTCCATTGGAGAAAATTGACTGAGCAATTGCACAATAAACCATTCCCATGGCGCAAGTCAATAAAATATTTTTCTTGATTTTTGTGTAACAAACTTCAAAAGTGATCAAATTATATGTTTTTAGGGTCGTTGGTTGCGAATCTAATATCAGTTTTCAATTTAACTCAACCAAAAATAACTTAAGTAAACAAACAAATTTTAACAAAATTTAAATCCTAAAAATAGTACTTGAGTATCGAAACATAAAAGTATCATTCTAATAGACGTACATAAAAATTTCGAAATTATTTGATACATTTTTTTAAAGATTTCAGGTGTATATGTTAAAATATAAGAAATCCGCGAAAAACACAGTTTTCCGGCACTAAATGAAAATCTGTTGTCCCGATTTTTTTTTTCGTCATGGAAACCTATAAGTTCTTATAGTGTTCTTACTAGTGACAAATGTTCAACTTGAAGGTCTAAAAACTACGGCTAAAAACCCTCCTTAAAAAAAACCTGTACCCCCTTGAGGGAAATAGGTAAAATTTAAATTTGATACAATTGACGTTTGTGGGCATAAAAAATAAATATTTCTTTAAAAATTTCCACACGATCCGACTCTTTTTCTCGAAATTATAGCCAGTTAAATTTCTAACTTAAAAACTCGTATGGCTTTTTTTGTGTTTTTTCAATTTTTACCCCCCCCCCCCTCAAAGTACCAACTTTGTGATTTATAGAGTGTCTGCTCATAGGAATTGGTCCAGTATTTAAAAATTTACATTATAAACAGACACAAAAAAAGCCCTCATCATGATAAATCCAATAGCATCTCTGCTTTGCATCCCTCTAAAAACGCTTGTAGCGATACGAAATAAAATTTTTTAATTGAATTAGTAGGTTCATAGGCTTTTGATGTAGCTCCAAGTACTAGAAAACATATTCACGATCCAATTAATTTTGCCTTTGAGGGAAAATCTAACCTTTTTGTTGAAGAGCAAGTAGTAAATTGAAATTGTTTTAATGGTGCTGCAAAGACAGACCGACTAAGTAGAAGAAAATACACAAATATAGATAATAATTTATAATTTAATTCAGTGGCATATTTACAGGGGTGATATATCACCCCCCAGAGTCCTATATTTTTATATAAATATATACCTAATAATCTGTTAAATGTTAAATAGAAAACTTCTTTTGACGAAATGTCAAAAAAAAAAATTAATTAAACTATTAGATAAAGTATTCTATTATGTTTATAATAAATGTATAGCAACTAAATTTCATTTTTTCACCCAACGAACACGTTTTTTGGAAACTTTTTTTTTCTTGATAAATTTCTATTAAAGAAAAAAAACACTGATCACCTTTTTTGGCCCCTGTATCGATGACTTTCTGTAAACCAGAATTGCATATAAAAAGAGTATGGAAAAATGTTATTGATGTAATAGGTATATTCGCTATAAATTTGCTACTGCACAATATGTATATGAATTTTATTATACACATCGCACAAAAAACGAATACCTATTGTGTACACATTTCTTTCTTTTAAAAACATTTTCAAGTATGCAAAAAAAATTGTGCGCTATTTTCAATAAAACAATATATTTCAGTCAGCTTACTATACCTATGGGCGGTGAATTGTTTTTCTAAGTGTATACTATTCCTAAATCATATTAACAAGTATAACACGATGGTGTTTATTTATTGTATTGTGCTCATCGTTTTATGGTCAAGTCCAGGTATGTAATATATTTTATACACGTCTACATAAATAATTATCTACTTATAATCTAAGCAATTAGTCTTAAGCTGTAAGTTCTGACCAAAATTATGGAAACTATAGTAATCGCCGGTAATTGCTATTTGCTCGTTAAAAGATGGCTCAATAAGTTTTCCCTTTTTCTTTTGCAAACCTCCTTAGTGACCAGTTATAATGTCTAAGCTTGCTCTAGAAAGCCTTAGTGGAGGCAAGTATAGACTCGAGTCCTTAATTTTATGTTAAACGATAAAACGGTTAAACGATTTTACAACAATCAGAGTTAGACTGGCAAACTATATCTGGTGGCGACGCTAAATAAATTAGGGACCGAATACAACAATGAAAATCGTATAATAAATGCACAAAGTATTTTAGGTCAATCGCGTTGTCTTAAATGTATTGCCAAGGTATGTCTTACTGCAGTGTCAAAAGTGGGTCACGACCGCAGTGTATAAGACTGACGGCATATCCAAGTATGTGTGTAATACTTAAATAATACTTACAACAACAATATGTTTTTGTACCTATGGGAAAAATATGTACACGAATTTTGAACACAATTATTCGTTTATAAACTCTATCGGGTATCGAAAAAGACCGTGCGCCATTTAAATGGAATTTAATATTTTAATTGGGCTTCGATACCTTAAGACGAGATTTTTATACCAAGGTTACTAAAAATACCATAGTTACCACAAATGACACGGTAACCATATGCATCAAAGTAAAGTGACAAAACTAAAAATGGCTAAAGAGGCCTAATTAAAGAAATTATGGGTTTTACCGAAATTATAATTACTACAAAAGTTATTAGTTTTGATAAGAACATTTGTTTGGTTAACAAAAAGTACATTGTTTTCATTTATGAAAAACATGTTTTCGACCGTAAGTCGGCCATTTTGAATTTTGGACCGTATATTTTTGTACCCACTTTGTACTCTAAAAGTCTCTAATAAACAACTTTTTGAATGGATTAGTATTTTTTTTTTAGATAAATCAATTAGTATTTAAAAATGGGATACCCTGTATATCTCATTCTGGTCTACTTAATATATTATTGATTTCATAAATATTAACCGATAAGAAACAACAATCTACGTTGCCATTTGCTCACTAAGAGATGGCCGAATAAGTTTTTAATTTTCTTTCGCAGACCTCCTTGTTGACTAGTTATAATGTCCAAGATAAGCTCAACAGAGTTCAGTATTTAAAAAAAAAATGAAAAATCAGATGGCTGGCCACTGTTTTATATCGTAAATAAACTATACAAATGCGTAGGCAAAATTAATTATATTTTTTAGCATTTTCTGTTCCAACTGGATATGCATCGTCTTCGTCCAATCCGGCTGGTTACGACCAAATCGACCACTCTCACATCTTAGTCAACGATATTAGCGATCTGTGTCTAAACAAAAAGTATGTGTTTTATTACGTTTTTTAATAAGAAATACAGGGTGTAGTGTAAAGTTCTACCGAGATTCAAATGAGACATTAAGTATGCTCTATGGGTACAATAAATTATAATTATTTTATTTTAATCTTAAAATAGAACTCGTATCTCATTAAAAACGGCCGTACGAAAAAATTATTTTTATATTTAAATACAGGAAAAAAAGTCTTCTTGAATTGATAATAATATGTAAGATGATTTTTTGTTAAATAGAATTTAAAAATATTTTTATCATTTGTTGTACTCATAGAGCATCTTAAATATCTCATTTGAAGCTCGGCAGAACTTTACATTACACCCTGTATATAAATATATACATATAAGATTCAATTGGATGTAATGGACTGGCGGTTTTTAATTATGAAAATGTATTTAATATTTACAATTCAGGTACTCAATGTAAGAGTCTTTGAAATTTTGAAACGAATCCCCAACAAAAACCTAACACTGAAAAAAGGACAAGTTCCAGACCCCCTCCCAAAAATGTCAGCATATAAAAGTAGTGATATCTACATTGTGGCCAAATTTGCTATTTCTTTAGTTGATAACCACACTTAACTCCTACTTTCATGAGCAACACTGCTCTTTTATTTGTATTGCTTGACACTTGGCCAGTTTGTGAATGAAACATGACCTTTCTGAATGAGGCATAAAACAGACTAGTCCGCAATGTAGATACCACTACTTTGATTAGTTGGCTTTTTCGAGAGGGGATCTGAACCTTTTTCTTTTTTTCTGAGTTCTCTTCTTCCCATCACACACATAACTCCTGGGTGAGTACATTTGATAATGATGTTTCATGCTTAATTCAGAAACTGGCTGCTTAACACTTGACCAGTCAAATGAATTGAATATATTTATTGATGGTTTACCAAAGAAATTAAAAAAGATAGATACTTTTCTGTATTCACTTGCTAGGTACAAATTATTGAATGTAATATTAATTATATGAAATTTATATTATATAAATATGCAAAAGCAGTTTTTAAATAAACTCATATTTTCAATAGCTCTGTATTGTTTTTAAAGATATAATTTTAAAAAACATATTCATTTTTAGCATTTATAAGTTTATTAATAATAAATTTCAATTTTATTTTAGGTATTCAGATGTTGATTTAGTTGTAGATAATGAACGAATCCACGCCCATCGCATTGTATTAGCCTCACGCAGTGATCAGTTCAGGCAATGAATTATTAACATTATGCATATCATTCTCCAAGACTTACAGGCTAAGTCATAATAGTACCTTAATAAGTATAAGGCATCTACACTTTTGTCAACTTTATTTTTTTTTATAATTTTTTTAAATAGGTAGTTTTGCTTTTTTATACGGTATCATCAATTTTCTAATCAACTAGCCTAAATGTGTTCGAAAAAAATTACAGCGGCGTTAGGTGCCTTAAGATTGTTAATGTTTTGTAAATGTTATTAAAAAAAAGTTATAAAAGTTAGTTTACTTGCTTTATATAAATTGTTTATATTGACCATCTATTGATAAAACTAAGTGTTTAAACTGATCGATTTACTTTTTTTATGCTGATCAGTATGATTTAAAAAACTCAAATAAAACGAGGGTAAATTTTTAATGACTTTTAGAATGAAAACACGCTTGTTGTATCCCATACACTGTCTCTGACTAGCTGTAGTGAACAAATTGCATTTTTGTACTAATATTGTGGATATTTTTTAGCTCGTTACTGAACGGAGATCATAAAAAAGGACCAAAGGCGGTGACAATAAACGAAGGATCAGCAGCCTCAGTTAAAGTACTACTCCAGTATATTTATTCTGGTCGAATAAATTTAAGGAAACTAGAGGTAAGTTATAGTCGACTTAGATGACCGGTATTGAAAGGCCAAAAAAAGTACTTTTTTCTAGGTTATGCGTTTTTTAAGGATCGTTAAGTGGATTGGTTGTGTTTTATGTATTTAACTATGAAAAATATATATTATTCAGAAAAAGTTTAATTAAATACACTTAGGATGTAATTTTTCACTTTTTAGCGTAAAGTTATTTTGGAATTATTAATTCTCTCAAATGTATATCGTTTTACAAACTTACAATTTTCACTGTCCGAGTATTTACTGAGGAACATCAATGTGGACAACGCAAGTTCACTGTTTGCTGTAGCACTTCACAATCAAATCAAAGATCTCAAAGTCGATTCACTGAATTTTATCGACATCCACGCTTTGGACGTATTGCAATCAGACGATTCTCGCTTTTTGACTCCCGTAATGTTATTTTATAGAAAAAATTCAATATATCTCGTGTTAGGTACCCAGTTTTGACAGAATTTTTTTTTTTTTTAGGAAGCATTTCAACTAATTCTTAATTGTGACACGGCTTATGCTAACGAATTGGATAAATTCCGTGCGGTTTGTCGCTGGATCAAAAAGAACCAAAACAAACTAGTTACTGATGCTAAAACCAAAATTTTATCTGCTGTCAGATATCAGCTTATGGACGATGAAGAACTGAATGAAGTTAAGCGTTCCGAGCTAGTTAGTTCGGATAGAAATATTTTGGATGTCATACATTTGAGAATAGAGTCCCTCCCGCTGGAATTTGAAGATCGAGGACGATTAGGTATGCCTAATACAGTTATTTATTTAGCAAATTATGTTAGTATCAACTACTTTTGTTCTTTAGAACCCAATGTGAATTTCGCTAAAGATAATCGCAATAAGCTTCATCAAGTTGGTCGTGGTACCATGCTAATGTTGAAACATCCATCAAATATAAACTATATTGAAATGGAGTTAAGCGACGAACAAGCAAAGTATAGTTTTACTTGTCAATATTTCTAATAAAAAAATTTGATATTATATTAATTTAATAATAATAATTTAATTCAATTTGAATTATTATGTATTTTTGTCTAAATTATTATCATACCATAATAATAATTTTCAAAATAATAAATAATTCACCAATTAAATATCAATTTTTTATCCTTATTTGATAACTTGTTTTTTTTTTCACCGAACAGTTTTAAAATTGTTTAATTTTTTTGATACTTTAGGCATTATACTTATTACATTGAAGTATTAACGGATGAGCATCAATGGTTGCGTGTAATAGATCATTCGAATTATCATTGTCGATCAATTCAACGTTTGTGGATTAACCGAATATTTATTCGATATATTCGAATTGTTGGCACTAACAATTCTAGTACTAAAACTTTTAACTTTTTGAAAGTCATGTACAATACGGACCAATTGCACTTGGTGGAAATCAAAAACGGATTAGTGGGTACGGACAATACGCACTTACACCTTGAATTATATGAAAAAATCATATTTGTCTAATGTGCTGATTTTAATTCTATTAGCTCCAAAGTACAATGTTGCTTTATCATCTATGGACTATGCTATAGTTAAAAGTCAACCAGATTGCTTACAGATTCAACTCGCCCAACCGTATGTGCTTAGTTCATTGAGGTAATTGTTAACAAAACATTTAACATTTACTTGGTTTATATTATTTGTGCGTAAAATACAAATTTTTATTGTTTAAAAAAATCATTCATCGTTGACTCTGGCAATAAGATCAGGATTATATTTATAATACAATTATTTATAGGATGCTAATTAATGACGGTGAAAGCGAAACCTGTGGTTACACTATTCATGTTTCGGTCAACGGTGAATATTGGGAAATTATTGTAGATAAATCTAATAAGTCAACACGATCGATGCAGGTGTTAAAATTTGATGCCAGGCCAATTGTGTATATACGTGTTACGGCCGTTCGCACTTCAGAAAATGATAAAGTAATATGATAATTCTAAGATTGTATTTTAAAACTGTTTTAAACATTTTTTTGTAGCTATTTAGACGATTAGTTTTGGAGGCACCCTCACAAGAATCTCTAGATTCTAACGTCGGGCTGCTCTAACCAAAAAAGTAGCGGTCGATGTTACGACTTATGGGTCGTAATTAGCGCCATCATTAGCCCTAAGGCCTACTTCAATATGGATCCAATGTGTTTTATTTAAATCATATTATATGTAACTTTAATTTTTTTTTTGCCTAATTAATATATAAAACATTCAAATGAATGTTCAAGTATGACTAATGGCTCTATATTATTTTATAAACATAACAATATTGGCTCACGAATGTCTGTTACTAAACATATTATTTTTCCCAACCAATATAATATGTTGGATCGTAATTATTACCTTTTTCTAGTAGTGAACATTTTTGACAAGTATGTTGGTATATCACCCTGAGAGTCTTATTTTTTATACCTTATTATAGTCCGTATATCATTATTGTATATTTTAGTCATTACATCAGTGGCGTAATTTGGTCATGGTTTTTTTTTGGGGGGGGGGGGATAAAATAAAAATTGCATACATTTTACTCATTACCCCTTCCCTCCCCCAATTTTTTTTTGTATGTATCGTAAGAACAGCTTAATACAACCATTGTGATATGTAAAACGTCATGGGGGGGGATGATAAGACACTCAAATCTCCCCCTCTTAATTACGCCTCTACATTACATCTACAGAATAATCTATATTGTATTTAAAAAGAAAAGTGATAACAGCCAACAATATGTTTACTTCCATTTAAATAAAAAATGTATTTTATGTTATATTGTTCTAAAATATAAACAGAAAAAACAATTTTTATATATAGTTTCAATACGAATGTATTATGCATTAGTCATGATAACAACAAATTATTTAAATATCATGTACACATTTTTATTACATTAAAAAGGTGTATTTTATAAGATACAACGTCAAATTATTTGCTATTTAGAAATATGCATCCACATATTATAATAGTTTTATCAAATAGCTAAACAATTAGGTATTAATATATTAAAATAAGAAAGCAATGTTGTATTTTATTACAGCAGATTATAAACATGAACAACTAAATTGTGTTTAGAAATCGAATTAAAAAATGTGTTCTAACACCGTTAGCTTAAAAAACTAATTACAACCATAAAATAATAATAGTGCACTAATTAGTTACTATTAAAAAAAATGTTAAAATATGGTAAATTTTCAAAATTTAAGTATGCATTTCATTACTTTACTTGTAAAACTATTAGTTCTACATTTAAACATAATATAATGTAACATAAATATTAAGTATATATCATTTCAATGTAGTTTCATGTTAATTTGTTTATGTAAGAATTTACAATGTATAGAATGTTGCTACTATATCTTGTCTTATTCGACGACCTACCAAAAGTTCATTGTTACGATTTTCGTGATTTGGCCTATTTTCATTTATAATAACCATTGGTGGAATAATTCCAAAATCTACATCTTCAACTTCGAGTGGTTCATTTACTACTAATGGTACATTGTCATTGATGCACAAACTATGCAGCATTATACAACTTTTTATAATTTTAGATGCTTTACTCGGTGAATAATGTAGTACTCGGTGTTTGAGGAGACATCTGTTATACATTTAATCATTAATTATATAAGTAAATTATATTATATGCAAGCCCAACAGCCATAATAACAATATATAAATAGTTTACCGAAAACGCATCTTCAAAACTCCATTGCATCTCTCAATGGTAGATTTAACACGACAAAACGTCTCGTTGTATGCAGCTTCCGGGGACCCGATAAGTTTAAAAATGGTTTAAAAATGGTGTCATCAACCACGGTCGGAGTGCATAACCTGAATCCCCTTAATAAAAATGAATTTAATTTTTGTATGAACTATTTAGTTTTACTTGCTTTATTATTTGATTTTTATTTTATAAACAATTCAATTTATTTTACAAATTCGTGCAAATAAATAAAACACCATATAAAATGTATGACGTTCCATTTTTATGTAAATATTCCATGAGCTATAGATTTATAAAATTCCCTTTTTTTAGTCTCCGTACTTTTTAAGCCCCGTAAGACTGAGCTTGTGTAGGAGACAAGATTTCATATCCCATGTCTTAAATGTACACATTTTTATGTGTACATTGTTCTTAAATAAATTACAAATGAGTAATAACAGTGTAGTATATCAACATTTTAAGAATAAATAAAAAACAAAATATCTATAATAATTATAAGTAAATTAGTGTGTTAACTGTATGTAGATAAAATATAAATTTTCATCCATATTGGTACGATACGGTTTCTTAAAGCTCTCCTCAGTATAGAATTTGTCGTTGATATTATTTTTTCAAATG